TACCATATAAATTAGATTTTATGTACAACAATATTTAAAACCATTGCAAAGGAGGTGTTTTGTTGTTTTATAGTCGCTGCTCAGTCTTCATTGAATAATTTCTTTGAAGAAAATTCTTGGCTTCTGAGTTCTTCCCAATGAATCACAGAGCAGGAGCAATATCATAATTTATCAATTTTTTATCTGCAGATGCTATGCTGTTCAGTGTAGCTCTACCCAGTTAATCTGCACAGCTTCTGATGAATTGCATTTACTAAAACACACAAAATTATTTTTCACTTAACCAACATCCTGAGCAGCTCTACTGACAAATCAACTCCTACAATATGCAAACACACAAATGTTTTCCTTTTCCAGAAACAGGGGCTGGGTGTGCCAGAGAAATACAGGAATAAATAAATCAACTATTGATTGATCTGCTGCACCACTGATGTCAGCTAACTTGATAGGTTGGAAGTGATTGCCATATTTTTATTTTTGTCTTACCACCAGCTTTTGCCATCGCTAGGCACTTGTGTGGCATCTCAAAGAAAAGGGCTGGTCTCACTCCAAAGCCAGATGCATGTGGGGGGTTTTTTACACATTTGCTTTATGCCATCTCTGATCTGTCACTCCTGCAGAAAAATTCTCCTCTAAGGTACAGCTTCCTTTGCTCCCATTTCCTCTGGGAGAGCAGGAGATTCCTGCTGGCCCCTGTGAACACCAGGCTGGCTGTTACACTGAATTTTTCCATTATGTTGCAATAGTGAAGAAATCTCCACTCCCTGCACCTGGCAGAGGAAAGCAGACATCAAGCACTCTCTTGACCCAATGCCTCCTCCAGCCCACAGGCATCCAAACAAGGATCAAATCTTCTTCTCCCATATACATTTTGCACCCAGTTTCCTTTTGAAAATCTGGACTAGGAACACTTGCCCTCACCCCTCACAATGCCATGTGATTTAAACATCAAGTTTTTCATTCATCCACCAGAATAAAACATATTTGCAGAAGACAATCCTTAAAACATATTTGCAGAAGACAATCCATAAAACACAGTGAAATAGAAAATCTGTCTCTCCACAGGATTTCAGAGCCTTTTCAGCAAACCACAATGTCACCATCAAAAGTCTCACAGAAGCAGCAGTGCTGGCTGACACTGCCAGGGTACAAGGGGTGTGTTAAAAGCAGCACAGTCTCACACAAAATGCCTCTACCAGCTTCATTCAGACTTCCCCCACCTACAGCTTGTGCTTGTAAAAGAAAAATGAATAGGAGAAGAAAGCTGGAAATCTGAGCAGCACTAGGCTGACATATATTTTTTAAGTATGTACCAAGACCTATATTGTCATCAGCTTTTATTCCCCTTTTTACCCATTTGCACAAAGCAAATGCCTTATCTCCATGTGTCTTTTTTTTTTTTTTCCAGGGGCAAAGGGAATCTCTGAGGTCAGCTCAACAGCAGACAGGGAAAGAAGAAACCTCTGAAATTAAATATCACACACTGAAAGTGCCGGGATGAAAAAATTTTGGCAACCCTCCCATCCTGCCTTCCATCACCAAAAAATATTTGGGGAAGGTGGGAAAAAAAAAGACATCTATAATTTTGCATTTAAAGAAAAGTCTTAATTTATTTGCTTATTTCTTGAATATAAATGTATAAAAGTCACCATTTTCCTTTAAAGGTTATACAGAAAAAAATTACTGGAAAAAACTCTTTCCAGCCATGCTGTCCAAAAAAGGATGGTATTGACTCTGGTTTAAGGATTTGCCTCTGCAGTAAATTTTGATCACTACAATGCCCCATGTAATTCTCAGTTACTTACAGTTACACACATACACCACACAGACAGTCCTATTTAAGTGTAATACAGACATTGTTTCCAGCTTAGCTTATCATTTTAACCAGTTTAAGATGGGTGAAGAAAAATATTTCCACTACAACAGAGGAGTTATATTTGCATGGTTACGTTGTCATGATACCCAAGTCTTAGCCACACTCCTGGAGATCAGCTCTGCTGGGTAGTGAATAATCACCATCCCCAGGAGAGCCTGGGGACACTACAGGACTAAATCCAGGGCAACTAGACAGGCTCAGCAGAGTTACCAGACTGTGCCCATCTTCCTGCATGTAAGACACCAAAGAAGCAATTGCACCATTTAAATCTCATTTTCCCTTCCTGCCCAGCTGTGTGGGCCAGCAGTGGGTGAGCAGAGCAATTTGTGCTCCTGATTTCCCTGGCCTTTTCTTTGTGGACTGTTATATTTGGAGCAACACTTCAAACACACACATATTTCACTGTAGTCAGAGCAGCTGCCCGTCAGTGGGACTCAGTCCCCAACCTGAGCAAGAAAAACTCCTATTTGGGAAATCCCACCTGCTCCCACTCCACAGAAATTCAAACAGAAATTATTCACAGGCAGTGCAGGTATAGCAGCCCAACAGTGACTACCAACTAAGCCTTCAGGGAAGATTTTGGCTGGTTGGGCTCCACAAACTAAAAACTATATAAATAGGAAAAGGCAGCAGGAGAAAGATTTCCATCTTTCCCACTTTGACATTACCTCTGCTGCTGTCAGTACACCTCCCATGGCTTTCACTTTCCAGGCAGCAGAAACACAAAATGAGGCATAAATCCTGCACTTCTGACTCACACCCAGCACAAAATCCTTGGAGTCACACACCTTTACCTGGCAGCTGACCTCTGCACTCATGCTCTCAGCAGCCAGTCTGTCCCAGCACAACACAGAACAACACACTGTACAGCTTGAGCTGAAAGAAATGCACAAACCCTTGTTTCATAATCAGAGTTATCAACACACAACTAGAGCATGCATCTCAAATCTCCCAGCACAGCCCACACTCTGTATTACAATTTGGTGTGAGCAGCAAGATGCTGAAAATGAGAGATGAAAATCAAGGCTGGGAGGAAGCTGCCACTTATACCAAACCAACGGGGAAGACTAAACAGCTGCAGGTGCTTTTGACTCCTACAGGTGTAAAGCATATGCTGGAAAACTGAGTGAGTTGTTACAGTCTGAGCTGAAGTATTGAAACTTTCTATTTCATCTAATTTGTTGTATAATTACAAATGTGGTAGTTTAATTTGACTTAAGTGTATTTCTGCAGGAACAAGCAGTGTTTTTCTTCACTTGGCAAATGCTCCCAATGCAAAACTTCTGACAGCCAAGATGCACAAAAGTTTGACTTCAAATCTTTAGAGAGTTTGTGAAAATGGAAGAAAGGAAGCATAGAATATCCTATGGGAAACTGCTCAGAGGGGAGATGTTTTAGCTATTGTTTTCTGCGTCCATTTTTTATTCATCAGTCAAGAAAAATTCAAATTCCTCCTTAAAATCATAGGCTACATTCTGAGTTTTACACCTTCAGAGAGGTGCCAGCAGTGAGTGCTGAAGTGTGAGGTGTGGTGTGTGCATCCCAGACAGGCCATTCACAGCCAGGATTTAGAATTTGGACTGCCAGCAGCCACATGCAGAACAACCTTCCAGGGTAGTTTCATCCAGTCAGGAAAATAAAATAACATGACTGACATGGATACTCAAAAAAGTTCTCACACTATGTGTGTACTGGTAGAAAATTCACTGATCATGTCCTCATGAACTATTTGTTGGGTTTTTCCTGCCAGAGACAACAATTTCCAAAAGAGATGGAAGAAGGCAAAATGAACCACTGTTCTTAAGAGAATGGGACTAAGAAGTCTTGGCTGGTTTTAAACCCAGTTAAAATATCTGCTTTTTTGCCTAAGGAATATAGGATGATAGAGGTATGAATTTTTGGCTGGTTTTAAACTAAGTTAAAATATCTGGGTTTTTTTTGCCTAAGGAATATAGGATGATAGAGGTAGCAGAATTGTAAAGATGGTGTTTAATTTCTTCCCCTTTCCCAAGGCAAAACTGATTAATGTAACTTGAGCACACACATCCACCCCATCATAAGGAATGTGAACATGACAGCATCTCCAAAAGAAGTGTGACATCCTTGAGGCATGAAGAAGATTTCAGAAAGTGCCCCAGAGGAGCATCACCAACCAGGCTGAGCTCAGCATCCAAACCCCCAGAAAGGGAACTCTGTGGCCATTCCACCAAGTCCCCTCAGATCCCAGGCAGATGTGAACCCACACAGAGCAGGCTGCAGGACCAAGGTGATTTTTTGCATGGAAAACTCACCACTGTGAGACAATTCCATCTGCAGCTGTTAGCTGAGTCTCATTTGAGAGAAGACATCCTGCCAGCCAACGTGGGCTCTGTTTGTGAAAGGCAGGACTGCCACATTGCCAGCGCCACTCCCCACCCTTGAATGCCAGTGCTAATGTTTCTAGCAAATTACCTCCCAAATGTTGCAGCACGACATGCTTTAGAGGAGCTAATGAATCACACAGTAAAAACTAATTGCAACTTACACACTGTTTCGAGCTGAGTTTTGCAACATAAAAGCAATCAGGCAGCAATTAAAATGCTAATATGGGGCTGAACCTCATATAACTGTTTGCCAAAATCTAGTGCAGCACAGTGCTTCCTGGAGTACTTGGAACAGATGGGATTTAGTAAGTAGGTAGTCATTTCATCAAGCTTTTAAACCTTACCATGCTGGAGGAGGGTCCCCACTATGATACATTACATATTTCCAGTATTAGAAGCGGCAGTAAAGGATCATTACATATTTTCTTCTTTTGAATGGCTTTTTTTATTCTCATGTAAATGATTAATAAACTCTTAACAAGTCAGAAAGGAGGGCTACATACCAGACGCTCTTTCCAGACACAAACATTTTTAATTTCTTTTTGTTGTAGTATAGATGGACTCCAAATGTGGTAGTGGAAATCATCAAACCTACTTTCCTTTTTAATTATAAAATCTTCTTTTCACGGATTCACTAATGCAAGATTGTGAATTGAATGAAACAATTACATTTTAATTGGGTTCACCTCCCCCTCATCCACTTTTTCTTCATTACATTCCTAATACTAAGACAATCAAAATACATTAATTAATTCAAATGGGGAATTATTAATTTTCAACATTGTCAGCCTCGGAGAAATTACCTCTGGTCCAGGAACAAAGCTCCCAGGAAGAGTTTCTTCTATTGCATGTTAGCCTGTAAATTTTTACAATCATTATTGGTAACAGCACTGAAAAAGCATGAACAAGCTCTAAACTGACTCACCAACCTCTTTGTTCTGAGCCACCTGCTGAGAGAAGCCAGGGAGGGAGACCAGAGTAGGCACCTGGAACTCACCTGTGTATGGTGATGCCATCCAAACTCCTCTCAGCTGGACACAGAACGTGAGATACCCAAAATGTCCAGATTGGATAAAGCTGTCCTTCAGGCACAGGGATTCTTGAGTAATGAGGTCTTGGCTCTCAGGTCCTTGCAGCCCTCCAAGCACAAAAGCAAGGCAGAATCCCTACCTGATCCCAAAGACATAGACACAGATAATGAATACAAATAACAAAAAATTGATTTAAGTGTTTTCTTCTCACTCATCAGTGCCTTTATACCCTCCTTTAGTCTCCTATTCAAAAATAAAGCTATTTTTTTTCACAATTCTTACAGTCCCTTTCCCTGTGCAATGGTCTTCATGAGAAGCTCTGCACAGAGGACCACATTCCTTGATTAACAACCACTTCCCTTCCTTACCCTTTTATCCTTAGCATCTCCAAACACCCACTTTCCCCATCTTGTCTCCACTCCAGCCTGAGCTGCAGAGAAATAAGCAGCTGCTGCTCCCAGCTCAATCCCAGCAGTAAAACCCCATTCTCAGCACACCTGCACTCCCCTCCCATGCATCCACCCTAAAAGGAAACAGGATGGAAAATTCAGCAGCTATTCAAAGACATGACAACTGCCTAAAATGCAGAAGATGTGTCCAGAAAAAGTAAGGAGCACCCCTCCATCTGCTCCAAAGGATGGCAGGGACCCTAAATGAGAGGAGATGGGCTGGGGTTTGCTGCTGTGTTCACTGCTGCAGCTCCAACACCACGTGAGGACAGAAGGTCTCACTCTGAGGCAACTTTGAGTTTAGGAAATAGGAAACCTATAGCTCAGAGTGCAAAAAGTGAATCACCACTAAAGAAGTGACCTGCAGTCTGAAAGAGGTCTGTCAACAGAGGAATTGGAAACTTTAAGCCTGATTTCCCAAATTACCACTTTGAGATAGCTTTGAAAGAAAACTGACAGGAGTGTGGAGGGAAAAGGCACTTTCACAGAAAAGTGTTTCTCATGATAGCAAGGCAGAGCCTCCCTTAGCCAGGCTAGGGATGGAGCAGATTTCACAAAAAACCCTAGTATTCCTGGAAGTCGTAGAGATTTGCCTCTGCCTGTTTGCCCTGGGAACCCGAAAAATTATGGGACTTTTTATAATCCATCATCAAATCAGAGGAGCTCTAGTGCCCAGCTCCACAGGCAATGCATCCCTACAGATCCAACCTGCCTTTCTCAATGAGGGCTTTATATCAGACAATAAAAGCTGCTCTGCTCTAAGGTTCTCAGTACAGAGGAGAGGAGCAGCACCTTTATTTCACCCCAGTGAGCACAGAGAGTGTGTCCAGGGCAAGGATGTGCCCCAAATCACACAACACTTTGAGTAACCCAGCACCATCATCATCATTTGTTCTGCTTCACTTACAGCACACCCCACAAGGCAGTAAAACTCTGAATTCTTCCTTCCAGACACCAAGTTCCCAAGATCACACGCTTAACACTCACCAATTTAGGTGTCAGCTGAGGCCTGTGGCACCACCACCAATTTTATTCATTTATGTTACAGTGGGGGCAGACACTCCAGTCTGACCCAATTCTTCTGTTTTATTGGTAACTGTGACCTTGAAACCCATGCATTGTGTAAAGGGGAAGATAGCTGTAAATAGTTCTAAGCAGTGAAAGTTGGCTGATATTACAAACACATTAAAGAAATTGTGTTGGTTTGTGTCTCCTGAAAATCTGACCCCATAATGTGCTTCTGTACACATTTACAACAAGCTGTAGGCACACACATTATCTGCTTTTTTACCAGGCAGAAACAGCCACAGTGCACATTTGAAGAGCAAATACACTGAATTTAAAGGTAAGTAAATGAAAGCAAGGCTGAGATGTAAGCTGGACATGATAAAAAATGCTGCTGTAATTCCTTGTAGTATTAAGCTCTGTAGTTCTGTCTGATGCCTTGGGATAAATATTGCAATAGGGCTGAAGATCTCATTTCATTGTACTCTTGGAAGGGATTGGGTTCAGACTGCCTGCTCTGGGAGCCTTAGAAAGAGACTTGTTCAATGATTTCATAATAATTTGCTTTCATGCAAAGCTTTGGGATAAATGGGAATCATTCAGCATACCTGAAGCTCTGCTGTCATATTATTGTACCTGTGTGTACCACAAAACATCTCAATGAGCAGTGAAGGCAGAAAGTTCTCCTCTGATTTAAAACAATTTCTTTCACAGAAATAGAATTTTCAAGAATGGCACAAAAGCAACTAGATAATCAAAACAGCCCTGTGTTTCCCAAATTTACACTTCCTTTTGTTTTATTTTCATTTATCTCTCTAGTAACACAGCAGAGTAAAACAGGGAGGAAGGGAAAAAGGAATTTTGTCGTTAGCAAGGGGATTGTGAAGGGATTTTAATGTTCAGGAAGAATAGGAAGCAGACAAAGGGGTACATTCATGTCAAAAAGAAAAAGTGCTAAAAAGCACTTTCTCTTCTAACATAAGGTCAGAGGAGGAACCTAGCATGCCATGCTTCACTCCTTTGTCAGTGAGAGATCGAGCACTAACTCTGCTCATGGCCTCTGGAGCAAGCCCCAGGTGAGAAAATAAAGCAGGGGAAGTGTCCCAGCCTGTTCCCTTGCAGGGAAATATTCATCTGAGGCTGCACTAATGACTGAGGAATTTACATATAATTTCAGAAGCCACCCTCCCAACCCAGAGCAATAGATCTCACAGTGGGAAAGATCAAGGTCATTTTTGGAGACCTTCCCTGAGTGGGGTTCAGCTGACTCCCTGTGAACAGCAAAGGATTGGGGCAGGTGTATTTGTGTACAACGCAATGCCCCCGGTCTGAAAATTTCCTCAAGGACACATCTCAGCACCAGCACTGTGAGAAACAGAAAACTCCAGCCAAAGTAGAGCAGTGCAGCTTCTGGGATCTATGGTGAGGTCAAACATCCAACTGAGAGAAGAGCTGGAATCAGAACACTGGGAAGAATCAGAGCTCTGACTGATGAGTTTGGGACTCACACAACCTAGAAAGACCAATTGCCCAGATCCTCCCCAGATCCTCCTCACCTATGAGATGGATTACAAAACCAGAAAGAAATCACACAAATGGGCATTTTTTTAACAGGCTGGGGCTCCTGCAGCAAGTCCTCATGCCCAGAACCTTCTGGCATGACACCCCTGACATGGGCAGGGGTGGAAGCAGTTGCCAGAATTTCGTTTTTTAAAGAAGCACTAGTGAGGTAAATGGAATTAGGAGATATCAGAGGCATCATGGTATAGTGCCACCAGTGTATGAAGTTTGATGCTGGTGATCCCCAGGGATACAAGCACTCACCAGACACCTGCTGGTGGACAAGGACAGAATCACAGACATCACCCAGAGCCCAACTTAGCCATATGAAGGGGCTTCACAGCAAGAGGCAAAAAAGGCTGGACAGATCAAACCCCAGCACTTTGGAGGAGTAACTCAGTGAGAAATGAACTTTCAGGGGAATTTCAGGGTTGTGGCTAAGAGTTTTTCAAGTGATGAACCATCCTCATTTCCAAACATTCAGAAATCACCATCATGAGAAACAGCAAATATGAAAATAAAGGTAATAATTAAAATGGGGCAAAGGGAGAGGATTTTAGCTACAAGGAAAGCATCAGCCTTTCCAGAGGAGTTAACCAAATCAGGAATAAAGAAACAAAGCAGAACGAAGAGAGAGTGGAGAGAGAGTGAAGGTGTGACTGCTGTGGTCAGCACCACACTATGGCCAGATTTGTAGGAAGGAAAAGAGCAGGAGCAGCACAAAAGTAGGTCAGGGAGTGAAGGATATGGGAAATTCAGGCTGTTGGAAAGAGGCATATCTGAGGATCATGACCTGACAGAGGTGGGATGGGATGGTGGGAGAAGAGATAATAGGAACAGGAATGAAAGGAGCAGGATAGGAGGTACCCAGGCAGCAGAGGGACTATTTTCATCAGAAAATGTTGGCCAAAATGTATTAAATAGCCCTGTATGGGCATCTGAGGGCTTGTGCTATGGGTGTGGGAGATGTTTTTTAGGCTTACTATGAGATGCTGGTGTATAGATCAATTTTGCTCAAGCCAGGTCAAGATGCCCTGGTTGAAACCACTGCCTGAGTGCCTGGCCTGTGCTCTGGTGAATCCCATAATAACTTGGAGAAGTGAAGGCAGGGAAATACAGCAGAAGTGCTTAGAAGGAGTCAAGAAAATGAAGAGAGATTGGAAGAACCGAGCTCCCCATGGAGGGTACTGACTTTGTACAAAACTAATGGGCAAAGTCAGGAAGGTGAGATTTGATGAGGGCAGAGACATCAGGTCAGTGAGATGAAGGCTATAATTGAATACAGTGAGGTGGCAGCAGAGGTAATTAGGGCTCAATAAGCTGCAAAGGGCACAAATTAAATGAGGATAAAACAGAAGTTAAAGCACAAAGACAGTCAGTGTGCTGGTTTTCTTTGCCAATGGCAATCTGGCTGATGAAGATCAATTAATTGAATTCAAAGAGCTGGGATAAGCCAGATCCCCTGGGAAAACAGAGTTTGGGTTATGAAGAGGAAGAATAGAGCTGGTGAAAGAAAACGGGGTGGTACAAAACAAAATTAATTTGGTTCAAAAGAAGATAAGAGGGAAATGCCATGAAAGGAGAAATTAGGAGAGAGTGCTGGCAGTGCAGGGAGGAAAATGCTGAGAGAATGAAAGTTTGAGAGGAGTATCAAAGAGGGGAAAAACTGAAGAGTGGAAAGGAGTGAAGAGCACTATCAGAAGTAGGAGGAATGAAGAACATAGGTTCATCTGTGTTATTGTAGTCAAACTGGAGTGGTGGGAAGTCACAGCCCTCACCAAACACTCTCCTCTTATCAGTAGCTAATGCCCTGCTGATGAGCAGCACTTCATTCAACACAGGATGTCACCCGCTTTTCTCCTTCCTTTCATGAGGAAAGACACAGTGATCTTCCTGCTAAACCATGGAAATTATAATGGGAAGCACCACTAATAATTTTCAGGGCTTCCTTCTTCTCTGCTCAATGCTACCAGGGAAAGTCTGGGTTCGTGTTCCGAACTTTGGCTGCACCAAGCTATTTCCCAACATTTGCAGGCACATGGTGTTCTCAAAAAACAAGATACAAGGTGCCAATCCTCCACCACTTGGTGCCAGGGATGCTCTTAGGTTGGTGCTGGGGAGATTG